TGGATTAGGGTTATACCACGTTTGAGACCATGGTGAAAAATCTCCATAATTATTGAGTGAGACACTCAGATTATCTTGATATTCGGGGCACATACCGGTCGAATGATCCCTGGCATAACAAATTTCACAGGTTGCAGCAGCCATTCTTTCTCTAATAGAGTTTAGTGCCTCTAAATATGGAAACTTAGAAAAAAAATCAGTCTCATTGCCTTCCTCGGAAACAAAATCCAGTAAATCACCAAAATACGGAGTGTTAGAAGCCATAAACTATATAATAAAAAAATAAGAGAAATAAATTAAAAATGAAAACAAGGTGAACTCAAAAAGAAACAAATTAAACTGACACCAGTTCCCCGGCAACGGCGCCAAAAATTGACAGGTGCCGAACCTGTGCAATAATAAAAACCTGCTTAAATAAAATATAATTTCTGTAGATAGTGATAAGTAGGGTCGAATCCACAGGGATTGGGGATAATTAGTTTCTTCTAGAGTTCAAAGTATGGGGGGATTTTTGGATTAAATGCTAACTAAATAAATTAAATGCAGAAAATAAATAAAAGAAATAATTATTGGAGAAACTCTAGCCAAGGGTACACTTCAGAAATGGTTCATGTACTGATCATCGATTCAGAGATAATTCCAACATTTATTTAATAGATTGGTTATAGTTGTCTCGCACGCACTAAACAACCAACCCTTCCTTAATTTCTCGATAGTTAAGGTACGACCGTTAACTATTTCTTTAACCCAAAAACAACCCTAGGTACGACCGTAGGATTTAATTTCTAGCTTGCATTAAGAATTAGAAAGGCCCAATCCCAAATAACAAACACGCTACGAGGGTTTGTTTAAATTAGATCGTATGTTCCCCTGACATAAACCCAATTACGCCAGTTGCTACTGAGATAGGGATAACGAACAATTACGGATTCAATTACCCCTATTTAGCAAAATAGCCTATATGAATAATTAATTATTGCGCACTAATCAATCATCCACACGAGCTATAACGGTTAAAAGCAGGAAACATATGAATACCAATAAATGAAGGAAGCAATTAAAATAAATTAGATCTCACAGTAATTGTTGAACCAAATCTTCAGTTGTCCCCTTGACTAGAATTGAGAAGCTAGTTCTCCATTAATGGAGAACCAGCCATCCAAGAATAAAAATAATAGCCGCCTTCGAGTTTGATAAGAGAAAAACTGCAGAGAACAAAAGATTGGCCAAAAGGCCAAAAGGCTCTGCCAAATTGTACTTTGCGGCCGACCCCGCAAACATAATAAGAAGTCCCCAAATGCGTTGGTGGCTTCCTCCTAATCACACGGAACCTGACTTTCTTTTTCTCCTTAGTTTCCTAATGGAAAAATACTACCCAAAAAGAACTAGTTTCCTAAATAGCAAAATAAACCACAAAAGAAAGTATTTCAAGTTTCCTAATTCAACAATAAGACTAGTAATTAGAATTCAAGTCTTCCAAATCTTCCTCTAAAGCTGCCCAGAGTTTGAATCGAATTTGGAAATCGATCCCGAACGTGCCACCATCAAATTAATTAGAAGATTGCCCATTTTTGTCACGTTTTGCTCTTTTTCATACAATTTAGCATCATTAACCAAATATAAGTAGAATCCATCAATTAACGCAATATTTGGCTGAAATCAAGGGAAGAATAATTATAGATTTAGCGACAAATAATGACCTATCAATTTCCCCCACACGTAAACCATGCTTGTCCTCAAGCATGAGAACAACAAATCAAATAATCAAATTCAAACAATGGTATTATTCGAATCTTCTATTGCCAAAAGACAATTAAAACACATGTTAAGTATTAGTGGCAATTTTCAAGAAATATCTCTCCAACTAGCTTTCAAGATCAATGATTCTTTCAATTTATGACTAACTAATCTAAGAATATAAAATATTCAACCAGCATCCATAAGCAAATGGTTCAACTATTAAGCAAAATCTCAACATTAAAATTCAGGGATCAGCGGGTTAACAATTCATTCAAACACTTCCATATTTTTCACTATTAGCACATATTTTTTTTCTAGAATATCCCCACACATGAATGATGATATTTTTTTTATTTTTTTTTAGGGGGAACGTTTAGTTTTTAGCCATTCAAGCGTTTTGACGCGAACTCCGACATTGACCATATGAAGGAGCCCGGTTACTCAGCCATCATCGCTTAAAAACCACATACTCATAGCTATCGTCGCTTTTTGACGCGAAAGTCGACATTTGTGGTGAGAACTCCCGGTTACTAGACAACGATACTAGCGGAGTATAGCTGAATACTATTCATAAATAAGCACTAAAAATAAAATTAAATACCACACAAACCCGCTTCATTTCTTAAACATGGAGAACTAAGATTAATAGTTGAACCAATTTGCACAAAAAAAAAGCAAGACAAATATTTACAATACTTAGAAAAGTTAACCAAAAAGTGCAAAAGTCACAAAATCTCAAATATTCACCAAAGAGATACCCTTAAACTCAACAATGTCATACTCGACACCTTAAAGTGAAAAATCTTAGCAATAGAAAATTTTGAGACATCTAACCATCGTTTATCAGGAATAATCACAAATAAGCACAAAGATAGGCAAAAATTGGACAAAATTCGACAAAGTCAAACAAAAATTCCAACAAAAATGCCTACACTTGCACTTTTTCAATAAAATGCCAATATACTACTCCCCCCACACCTAAATCTTGCATTGCCCTCAATGTAAGCAAAGAAAGAGCAAAATAGAGATATTGGGGCAAAGACACTTCCCTTAAAACGGAGGAGGGCGGCTGGTTGCTGGGGGCGTGGTCGCGGCGGGCAGCGGCGCGATGGGCGGCGGCAGTCCTTGGCTCTGGTGTGGGGCGGCGGCAGACAGCAAGAAAAAGGAAGAAGAAGAAGGAGAAAAAGAAAGAAAAGGAAGAAGAAAGAAGAAAGAAAGAAAAAGAAAAGAAAGAAGAAGAAGAAAAGAGTAGGGTTCCGTGTCTTTTTCATTTCAAATTTTTTTTTTTACGAGAAATCCAGTCTTAGGCGTGGGCACACTCAACTGCTATAGAGTCCGCAGATCCTGAACGAAAAGTCCTTCCCCTCAGGCGTGACCACCTGGCGTGGGCACGTCTAACTGCTATAGAGTCCGCAGATCTTGAACGAAAAGTTCTTCCCCTCAGGCGTGACCACCTGGCGTGGGCACGTCTAACTGCTAATTTCCTGCCACCAAACATCAAACTATTAATTGACACTAACACTTAACTAAAACTTCAAAAATGCATGAAAACTGAAACAAATAGTCTTGGGTTGCCTCCCAAGTAGCGCCTTTCTTTAATGTCTTTGACTAGACATTTTCATGTGTATTCATGGAGGATAAAATCTTGTGGCTCGTTTCAGTACTTCATCTTCTATGTAATCCTGATAGCCCTCGTAAATAGAGTGATTCTTGGGCACACGAGCTACGGGCTTCCATGGACTAGTAAATGGCACCAAACAAACAAGTGATGATCTTAAATCTTCACTCACTCCTCCATCAAGAGCACTTATTGGTTCGAGATATTTTGCCATCATGACTCTTAATTTATTCCTGGCATGAAATTCAAAATTGTCTGGTATAATAAAATCAATCTCACTAACAGGAATTAAAGAATAAGAGTCAGGAAAATATTGATCAAGGAATGGAGGAGATGTCACCGCATTTGGAGATTGTTCACTGGATTCATTCACTTGAACCATTTGATGTTGGGGTCTCAATTCTTGCTCCTCAACTTTCTTTTCAACTACATCTTTAGATTCTTCTTCTTGAGACTCTTGCAGTACCATGTCATTTGTCAGAATAATTGCACTCTCATCTTCCTCATGGTCTATAATAGTTGGTGAGGGCAATTCTTCATAAACTGGAGAAATCAATTTGCTCGTTTTAAATGCACATTCAAGCCTTGCTTCTTTCATCTCTTTGCTCATCCTTTGTGTCTCCTGTTGAAGTTGATGTACCTCCTGTTGAATTTGATATGTGTTAGTAGCTATTAATTCAACTATTTCTTCAAGAGACATATCTGACATGGATGACGGTTCTTGAGACTCATACTGCTGAAAATTCATTGGCCCTGTTGTATAATTATAACTGGAGTTATCCCACCATCCTTGATCATACCCGTTTGGATTAGGGTTATACCACGTTTGAGACCATGGTGAAAAATCTCCATAATTATTGAGTGGGACATTCAGATTATCTTGATATTCGGGGCACATACCGGTCGAATGATCCCTGGCATAACAAATTTCACAGGTTGCAGCAGCCATTCTTTCTCTAATAGAGTTTAGTGCCTCTAAATATGGAAACTTAGAAAAAAAATCAGTCTCATTGCCTTCCTCGGAAACAAAATCCAGTAAATCACCAAAATACGGAGTGTTAGAAGCCATAAACTATATAATAAAAAAATAAGAGAAATAAATTAAAAATGAAAACAAGGTGAACTCAAAAAGAAACAAATTAAACTGACACCAGTTCCCCGGCAACGGCGCCAAAAATTGACAGGTGCCGAACCTGTGCAATAATAAAAACCTGCTTAAATAAAATATAATTTCTGTAGATAGTGATAAGCGGTCCTCTCCATAAACTGCATCGACCCTCGGAAGGCAGGAGAGCCCAACAGGCTTGAGCCCGGGGATGAGATGGAACGAGTGGTCTTGGATGAAGCGAAACCTGACCAAGTGGTGCAAGTAGGGGCCGGACTCCTCTCACCCCTGAAAGAAGAAATGATCTCCCTGATCAAGGACCACCGAGACGTCTTCGCATGATCCGCTGATGAAGTGGTCGGAGTGCCACCTGAGCTCATGATTCACCAGCTCAACGTTAATCCGCAGGCCCGCCCTGTAAGGCAGAAACGAAGGCACTTCGGCCCCGAACGTGCTATATCGGATGAGGTCGACAAGCTCTTGTCGGCCAAGATGATCCACGAGGTTCAATATCCCACCTGACTGTCCAACCCAGTCATGGTCAAAAAGGACATCGGTGGTTGGAGAATGTGTGTGGATTTCACCGATCTCAACAAGGCCTGCCCCAAAGACTGCTATCCTCTCCCAAGAATAGACACCCTCGTCGACTCGGCGATGGGTTACGAGATCCTTTGTTTACTGGATGCCTTCAAAGGGTATCATCAAATAGGAATGAGTGAAGAGGACCAAGAGAAGACGGCGTTCTACACCGACCAAGGTGTTTATTGCTACACTACCATGCCATTTGGGCTAAAGAACGCCGGGGCGACCTACCAGAGGCTGATCAACCGCCTCTTCAAAAACCAGATCGGCCGCAATGTGGAGGCCTACTCGGACGACATTCTCGTCAAGAGCCTAACTACTTCGGCTTTTTTGTCCGATGTGAGAGAGGTCTTCGGCGTCCTGCGGGACTCGAGGATGAAATTGAATCCCAAGAAGTGCGTCTTCGGCGTCACCTCCGGAAAATTCTTGGGATATCTGGTTTCCCGCCGGAGAATCGAGGCCAACCCCGACAAGGTCAAGACCATTCAGGACATGTCCCCACCTCGGAACCTCCGAGAAGTCCAAAGACTAAATGGACGCCTGGCCGCGCTGAACCGCTTCCTGTCCCAATCTGCTAAGAAAGCTCTGCCCTTCTTTAAGGTGTTGAAGAAGGCTGACCAATTCGCCTGGACTGAGGAGTGTCAGGCTGCCTTCGACCAGCTGAAACAGTACCTGCACCACTACCCACTCTCGCTTCACCTCGGCCCGAGGAGAAGCTGTACCTATATCTATCCGCAGCCGATGAGGCTGTCAGTGCTGTGTTCATCCGAGATGAGGGCACCCAAGTGCCGGTCTACTATATCAGCCGAGCCCTCCGTGGGCCGGAGACTCGGTACATCCAGGTGGAAAAGCTCGTATTGGGACTAGTCCACGCAGCTCGGCGGCTGAAACCCTACTTCCTGGCTCACCCCATCTCCGTCAGAACAGACCAACCTATACGGCAGATACTGGTGCGACCCGAGGCATCCGGGCGCCTTACCAAGTGGGCCATCGAATTGGGAGAGTATGACTTGTCATATGAGCCCCGCACCGCCATAAAAGTACAAGCCTTAGCCGATTTCCTTGCCGAACTCACCTTCACGGAAGGTCCAGAATCCACCTCCGCCTTTGCCGAGGTGTCCACCCCATCCCTGTGGACATTGTATGTAGATGGATCCTCTAATGGAGAGGGCAGCGGAGCTGGGTTGCTCCTGGAGGGCCCCCAAGGAGAAATGTGCTCGTACGCCCTCCGCTTTGGCTTCCCAGCCACCAATAATGAAGCCGAGTACGAGACCTTAATTGCTGGACTCCAACTGGCTCGCAGGCTCGGCGCCCAGCAAATCCACGTCCGCAGTGACTCCCAATTCGTTGTACGGCAAGTTCTTGGTGAATACGAGGCCAAGGATGAGACCATGCAACGGTACCTCTCCAAAGTTCACCAACTCATCGCGTACTTCGAGTCTTTCGAAATCCAAAGAATATCCCGGTCCCAGAATAAGCGAGCCGACGCCTTATCCCGGCTGGCTTCCACATCATTCTCTGATCTCAACAAAACAGTTTTAGTGGAAGTCCTGAGTGAACCGGGATACGTGGAAGAGGTGGCCTGCCCCGTGCACTCTGAAGATACCTGGATGACCCCGTTCATCCTTTTCTTGGGTCAGGGAGCCCTTCCCGAATACCGAGCCCAGGCGAGGAAGATACAACGCAAGGCTGCTCGGTATGTTCTCCGCGATGAAGAACTATATAAGCGCTCCTACCTCGGCCCGTGGCTGAGGTGTGTCACCCCCGAGGCAGGACGCCACGTCTTCCACGAGATCCACGAAAGCCTGTGTGGAGCTCACGTCGGCCACAAAATGCTAGCCAAGAAGGCTTTGCTTCTTGGATATTTCTGGCCCTCTGTTCGGCAAGACGCCCATGATCTCGTTCTCGGCTGCCCTTCCTGCCAAGTCCACGTACCCGAGCATCACCAGCCCGCAAACTTCATGGTTCCCATCACTTCACCTTGGCCATTTGAGCAATGGGGGACAGACATCATAGGTCCTTTCCCCAGAGCCGTCGGGGGTTATACTTTCCTGATAACCGCTGTGGATTATTTCACCAAGTGTGTTGAGGCCGAGCCTCTGAGGACCATCACCCGACTGGCAATTCAAAAATTCTTTTGGAAATGCATCGTCTACCGCTTCGGCATACCTCAGGTCATCATCTCGGATAATGGAAGGCAATTTGCCGAGAACCCCTTTAAAACTTGGTGCACAAACCTTGGCATCAAACAACATTTCACTTCGGTGGGCCACCCCCAGGCCAACGGTCAAGCAGAAAATTTCAACCGAACTCTCCTGCATGGTCTCAAGACTCGACTACACCGAGTTGGGTCATTTTGGGTCGAGAAACTCCCCAGTGTCCTGTGGTCGTACCGGACCACGTCGAGGTCAGCAACGCAAGAGACCCCCTTCTCCTTGACCTACGGCGCCGAGGCTGTCATCTCGGCCGAGATCCTTACCCCCAGCTCTCGGCTGGCAGCCTATGCTGCCGAGGTGAATGACGAACAGAGACAGCTGGATCTCGACCTCGTCGAGGAACGAAGGGACCTCGCCTCAACCCGGATAGCTTCCTACAAGAACACACTGGCACACTATTACAATGCCCGTGTCAGACACCGTAGATTCCAGCCTGAAGACTTGGTTCTCAGAAAAAACTCGACCAGCCGAGCTGAACCGCAAGGGAAATTGTGCCCGAAATGGGAAGGCCCTTACCGAGTTGTGGAATCTGACCTTAAGGGATATTGTAAACTGAGCTACCGAGATGGCTCCCTAGTGCCGAGGTCTTGGCACGCCGAGAATCTCAAAATGTATTATACTTGAATTTTTAATCAAGTAATGACTTCGGGTGTTATGTTATTTTTCAACATCGATATTACGCTATTCAAAAATAAGGGGGACAAGCAAGGGACGAAGTCAAGACAAGAAATTAAAGTGCCGAGATGAGAAAAATAGACGTTTCATTTAATGAAAGGACAATACAGAACAGAATACAAGACCGAGATCGGAAGTGCCTCTAAGCATCTCCCACCTCGGAATCCTAATTAAATATCTATGAGCCTAGACTCTCGTCTCGGCTCCCTCCCCCGTCTCGGCTCCCTCCTGGGTAGCCTTCTCTCCTGTCTCCTCCCCGCCGGGGTGAAGCTCTCCTCCTCCCTGCTCTTCACCGATGTTTCCCCCGGCTTCTTCTCCTCCAGCTTCTTCTCCTTGGCCCTCCTCGAACACTTCGTCGAGCTCGGACAGCCACTTGTTGAACTCGTCCCGGACTTCGGACAAGTTCCTTCCGGATTGGAGGCCCTCGGCCATCCGATCGCATAACTCCTTGGAGTCCTCATTGTAGTTGGCATTGTCTTTCAGAGACTCCAAGGCTTCAGAGGAGAGGTGAGCTGCGGCCTCCTCCACGGCTGACGTGAAGCCGAACATGAAGCTCGGCGCAAGCAGTTGGCCGAGATCCCGGGTGAAGCCCTCGGAGTTCCGAAATGCGTCCACGGCCGAGGCCCCAGCACTCTCGAGATCTTGTTCGTGAGACTTCTTCACCTCGTCCCCCCTCTTCTGCTCTTCCTCGAGGGCCGATCTGAGGCTGTTGATTGTAGCCACGGCCTCCTCATCTTTCGTCTCGGCCTCTTTAAGCTGTCTTTGAAGCTCGGCCTTCTCAGACTCGGACACTGCCAATTTTTTCTCCAACTTGGAGATCTGATTTTGTAACTTGCCGGAGTCCTGCTCCTCGAGTAGAGCACAGTACCGGTGTGTCATCTCGGCCACAAAGGCTGAGTTGGAGGCTGTGGTCACCATAAGGTTTTGAACCATCTCGGCCGGAGTCAATTTCTTCATAAATTCCAACTCCCTCGGCAAGGTAGAGTGCATCACCAGCTCTTGTGCAACCCGAGGATGACTGCACCTATCGTTAATAGTAAGTTTCCATTCCGGACACCAATGCTCGCCAGGGTGCGTCTTCTCCTTCCCGGAAAACACCGGGGAGCTATGGAAACGCCGAGACCTGATTGACCGGGGGTTTCAGCTGCTTGCCTCGGCCATGAGGAGGCGGGAGTACCGTGACGACTCTAAGGGGCACTCCCTCTGGCACAGACGCGGTGGACCCAGTAGCCGCGCCAGCCGAGCTGCTTTGGCCTCCCGGGGTGGGAGTGCTCTTGGCCACCGAAGTCTTGGCAGCCTGTCCTTGTGACTTCTTCTTCGGCGGAGGTGCCGATGTCTCGTCAGAGCTCTTCCTCTTCGACCTCTTGGCCACTTCGGACGAGCCCGATACGACAATGTCGGACAGTTTAGTCACTGCACAAGAAACAAATATTATCATATGCCTTAGCCGAAGTGGAATCAAAGCTATGAAAGAAAATTACAAGGTATCTTAAGTTTAGTGGAAGTGAAGGGAGTCTTGTCAGGACTGAGTAAAGCTCGGCTAATTCCCCCGTCAACCGGCACGGTTTCGGGGTAGTCCCAACTGTATATCCGAAGTCCTGACCCCATCAGCTTTTGGAAGGCCTCCTCCTCGGCATCCCCCGCAGAAGGGTCGGCCTTCGCCTTAATTGGCCTCCACCAAAAACCCCTAGGGAAGTCCAATCCGGATACAAAGAAGAAGTCGCGCTTCCAATTCTTGATCGAGTTGGGAGCACCAATCACCAATTTCGGGATGGCATTGTTCCGATTGCAAACATAAAACCATCCCTTATCCGTCCCGTGCGCCTTGAGGGTATAGCATCGGCGGAAGAGGTCGACAGAGGGAGTCACCTCCTGATGTCGGCACAGCATCTCGAACCCTACGATGATGCGGACCGCGTTCGGGGTGAGCTGGGTAATCCTCACGCAGAAGTGATGAAGCAAGTCCCTGAAGAACCTCGACGTGGGCATCCTCAGCCCGGCCTCCAACTGTTGGACATAGATGGCCACCGTGCCAAAGGGGGGTTTCTCGGCTGAGTCATCCACCCCGGGCGGTGTAATTTCGTACCCCGGCCGGAAGGGATACTTGTTTATCACCTTCTCGGCCCTATCTCTTCCTATGTGACTTCTAAACTTCGGCATCTTGCCGAAGTCGATGTTGGCTGCGTCCCTAGGAGCGACGGGCTCCAGTACGTCCTCGTCGTGTGGTATCTCGACGCCGAACTCCTCGTTATAGACCACCTCGGAACCACCCCCGCTCATCTCGGACGACTCCAACTCCGAGGCTGTCTCGCCGGCTCTCACCTCGGTTGATCCTTCCTCAGAACTTGGCGTCGACCCCTCAGAGCTGGACGTCGTCACTTCTTCAGGATCCGGCCTCACCTCTGTCTGGTAGCTCGGTGTCACGATTTCTTTATGGGTCCTAGCTATTTTGGCCATGTGTGTAAGACGAGATGGAAAGAAAGATACTTACTGTTGACTACGGTATCGAACAAAGATGATGACTTCGGCTGGGATCTCGGCTGGCAGGATTGATCTCGGCAACACTCGTAAATTTTGCAAGTCGCAGGCAAAGAAAGAAAGTGATGGGCCATACGGTGAAAAGGACCCCCTATTTATAAGGGTTTGGGGGGAATCCGAAGAGGCGGCAAGAATGCGAAAAGACGGCCACGTTCGAATTCAAAACGCCGTGCCTCCCTCTCTCCTCATTAATGCCCCGTCCTTTCGACTGACACCCTCTGCACGAAACGTCCCACTACTTCACGACGCGACGGCTACCAGCGGCCACGTCCTGTCAACTGACTCGCCCACGTGTCACGTCCCCGCATCTTCCGGAGCAGTTTCGGGACCCCGACTCTTTACGACTTCGGCACCAGGAAGCCTCGGTACCTCCCTGGCTCGGAGCTCCCGAGGCTTGGGGGGCTTATTGAGGATGCTCACCTCGACCACCCTGCATGTCCGAGGTGAACCCACCTCGTCTCTCATCAGAGCTCGTCCGTGTCTTGAGCATAACCCCTGAGCTCGGCCGGATCCCTAGTCTACCGTGTAGGTGACCTCGGCACCTCCACCCCAGCTGCACGCTGATGATGTCAAGCCACCTGACATCACCCGGAACCAGACCAGTGCTTTATCTGAGAAGCACTGGAGGCACTTAATGGCACCTGCACCATACTCTCCGTCATCATATTCAGGCGGCTACAGTGTCAGAGTCAGACCTCCTGACAGGAAACAGAGCCGTAATGCCAGGATGCGGGTCCCACCAGCATGAGCACTCCGTCCTAGCATTCCCTCCTGACCTATAAATACCCCTCGCATACCTCCCACAAGTAAGCATACTGTTCACTCATTCATACTCTAATTATTCTCGTTCTCATACTAACTTGATCGTCGGAGTGATCGCAGGGGAAAAGCCCCGCCTTCCACTTCGACCGTGCAACCTCACCTCATTCCACCCGAGGTGAGATAATCGAGCTCACCTCACCACATTAACAAGAGAGCTGATTTCGGTTGGACTAATTACCCGCCAAAAATCACCTCTTCAGGAACAAAAGATTCTACTAATAAGTTTTATTATGTTAAAACATTAGGTTCAATTTTAAAAAAAAGATGGAAAAAATAAAAAAATCACGGTTCACAGTTCAATTTGAGTTGAACGATATGGTTGATTTTTTGCGATTTTTACAAAAAGTCAATACTAATAATGAATTGGATCAAAGACTTGGCCGATTTGCAGTCTGATTAGTCGAATTGACAGGCCGATCCGGTTTTCAAAACATTGGTTCCCCAAGCTTTTAAAAGGGAGCCGATCCCTCCATCAGGTCCTACAAAGTATCCTCCACTACCTCCACTGATAGAGCCACATGGGCCACATGCTTTACCCCAGGATAGCGTATTTCCTAGGCTTTCAAGAGGGGTGCCTGTCCCTCCATCAGTCCGCCAAAGAATCCACCGCCGCCACCACCATTAGGGCCACTTGTGAATCAAAAATCCTAAATAATCGGTATTCCGGTCCATGAAACATAATTCAATTGATATAATAATATTAACTAGTTGCTATCAATGCCTAGATTGCATAACTAGTGACTATCCAAATAAAGTTTTTTGCTTATCTATTGTCGTTAGCATTTTTATTTGCTAGTCAATATGTTTAAAAACTATGTGATTTTTCTTGCTGATGGTTGTGAACTTTTGCTTCTAATCATATGCTATCTCAAATTAGTTTGTTTTTATATAAAGTTTCGTGTAATCCATTAGCGTGGGGTCAATCAAAGCCTCATCAACTCTCATTTAGTGACAATGTATTTGGCATAAATGTTGGCTGTGCATCTAAATTTTTCAAGTGATTATATATTTTGCCATGATGAACAATTTATGGCAAAGATTTTCTCCACTCAGTTTCTTCTCATGAATAACGGTTCGTATTATTAACTCATCCAAAAATTACAAGGGTAAGATAATTTTGGATCTTGTTGGATAGTTTATTACCCAAAAAACGATCTAAAACAGCTGAACAATCCCTGAAAATAAACGCAATGTTTGCTTAATTTGATTTCAGTGGAATTCAGCTGCTTTAGTCATCCAAAGGCAAATTTTGGATCTTTAAGAAGGTGAAGAGAGATTGCCCTGAACCATATGTCCTGCTCATCTGACTCTTAAAAATATTAGCCCTTTGTATCTTTCACGTATTCTCCCTCCTATTTTTGTGAGTGGAGGAGAAATCACATCTTAATGGTATACTTTGATTCGGATATTTCACTTGTTAATGCTATGTCACAAGTATGTGATTAGCATAAGAAAAAGAAGACAAATTTGTGAGTAAAATACAATGATTGAAGGAGATAAAAATGATTGAAGAAAGAAAGAGGCTAACTACACAATTCCAATTATGCTTGAAAGGCACACAGTTTTATGCAAGTAAAAATTTGTGAGATCCTGTTAAATAGATCCTACAACTAGCCAAAGTAACTCAAATAGCTTTGGTGTCTTAGAGGTTTGAGCCTCAGAGTTGCTGCTCATTGTCTTGTTCTTCACTATGTCCATTTGTTGATGTGTATAAAATAAAATCAAAAGTGAACCTCAGCAGTAGCATAAAAATGATGTATGGAAAAATTTCCTAGACAGCTAACATCTGGTGACAAATGAGAGAACCAAAAAAATCAAGTTGTAACAGCTATTAAAATATGACAGCTAAGTAGCATCAGCATGTTTCTTGCTACATGCTGAAGCTCATTTCAAGCTCTGGTCATTGAATACATGCAAGTCAAATCAGTGGCGGATCCAGAAAAAATTCTCAATTGGGATAAAAATAACACTAAAATTTTTTACCTAATTTTTTTCTAGTATTTTAAGCCAAAAAATATTCACCACTAAGTTGAGACGAAAAGGCTTTTTCTAGTTTACTTTAAATGAAACTTTGTGTTCCACATATCCTTTCAGAATTTTAGTTCATTAACTAATTTAAAGAACCACGTAATTCTTTCACATCCTTCATAAGAAAACTTCAAGGACACACTTGAAATTATATCAAAATTTTATGGGTACTATAGGAATTTAAGGATCCCAGTGCCCTTTCCTTGAATCCGCCACCAAGTCAAATAGAGCATTGTAATGACACTTTTTATCTCCCCGTCTGTCGCTTAATGAAGTAAAGGTGTTTCAAAAATGAAACCTTCCAAGGTGTTTCAAATTGCATGTTGATTCCTTTCTTGCTGCCATTTTTGCATTTTGAAATAAAAAGATATGCCCATTATCTGGGATAGCGCCAGATGGATGCAAAATCCTCAGTATACGCAGCAGTGCTTTATCTTTTACCCCTCACATTACAAGCCATGATGCTATCCTCAAAATAGAACGTCATAGCAACAGGGCAGGATCATCTTACACAGAGAGAACTAAGTAAAATTAAACTAGACTAT